AAAATTATATAAAATATTAATTAAAATTAATTTAGTTATTTAAAATTAATAATTTCATAAAATATTATTAAAAAAATACGGTGAGAAAAGTAACCCTAAACACATTCTTAAACCATAACCAACGTGACTCTCCCCTTTCGCTCTCTCTTTTCCATGTTTTATTCTTCCTCTCAAATAGTGGACACCTGGCCTAAGAGTAACATCTCTGGCTTAAACCTGAAAATATTGGGCCTCTTCTATGGGCTAGTAAAACAAAAAGACTCTACCCCTTATTTTTTTCCTTTTCCTCATTCCCTTCCTCAACGGACGGATGAACGATCTCTTGACGGCGACGTATGTGTGGCATCGTGCCTCGGCTCTATCTCGCCGTCAACGCCTTCTCACGGATCCCTCTAGCCGGAGAAGGTACGTCGTTGTCTTGACAATTCTTTTAGAAATCTTGAAACTTTATGATTTTGTGGGAATTCGTATTGCTGCTCACTTCAGTGTGATAGGTTATATTGCAAAAATTGCTTCCTTAATAAAACTTTCTTTGGTTTAAATTGCTTAGATTTACTCATTTGTCCTGAATCATCGCAATTCGTTTTTTGGTTTGCGAATTTTGATTGAGAGTAGCTAGATTTTCCCTTTTTGGTATGTAAATTTTGATTTTACAGGCGGTAAAGGGCTGACAAAGTGTTCGCCAATGAGAAGTCAGCAAAGCAAAGGCACGTGTTAAAAAAAACAATGATACATATATTTAACACAATTACATATTTTATTAGTAATTTTAATGATATAAATAATAAAAATTGTTAATTTTAATAATATAAATAATTAAAAAAATCAATTTTAACGACATAAATAATAAAAACTGTTAATATATAATAAAATGTAACTTTAAGTTGTTTCTCACAATTAAAAGTTTTTTTAGGTAAACTAGAGCGAGTTAGTTATTTAATATCACATAAATTTAAAATTTTAATATTGATTTTTAATTAAAATTTTTTAATTAATAAACATTAAACTACTCAAGCTTTTGTTGGTATTACATAATTTTAAGAAAAAACTCTTACTAGTATTACACAATTTTTTTAAAAAAAATTTATGGCAAATTTTTGAATATTCAATTTACTTCACTTAATAATTAAAATAATTACAAACATATTTATAATTTAAAAAATTTTAAATTAACAAGAAATAAAGTTCCTATGCTAATTAAATTAAGATTTAAACTTACTAAAAATATTAAAATACTTAATAAAATGCTTAAATAAAAGGTTTAAAATGTACCAAAATTAAAAATAATAAAAATAATAAATTTAATCCTAATATAATTTAAAAAATAAATAATAATAATAATATAAAATAACACTTAATAGTAATTACAATACACTTTCAAATAATCTAAATAACTAGTATTTAACTAGTTTCTTCTTTCCATTGCCTAATTGAAAAAAAAAAGGGAAAAACTAGTTTCTTCTTGTTCCTTGTGAAAATAACACGCAATTATGCATAATGAGTATGCACAGTCATCACCAATAAATGTCTTATCATTGAAATCAATAAACTTAGGTGGCATGCATTTGAAATTTTGTTACATTTTAGTTTTGTCTATAGTTCT